GGGGGGGTCGAGTAAACACCCCATTTAAACATGAACGGTCAATTACAATAAAGAAGAGAGAGAGGGGGAGGGTTTCCAAATTTAACGCCCATATCAGATGGATTCAAAGTTGAAGCCCAGTGAATGATGCGCACTGAAAACGCCCCAAACGAATGAAGTTCAAGAAAGACGCACGATTTACTCAGACCAGTGTTAGCCACAGTTCTCAACTTTATCCTTCCTCTTGTATCGTTAAATATCGAGGGGGGGGGGGGTTTCAATCTTAGGTCGAGGGCTAGGTTGGTAGCTCCTTGTCCGAAAATTGCACCTCTTCTCGACATCTAACGATACAAGAGGAAAGATCACGTAAATATAAAAGAAGATGACGGTTACACCAGCAAATCGTTTATCAATAGCGACAATGGCAACAGCAGCACCTCACCAATATAAAAATATATTTTTTTAATGGGCAAATACAGCAACAGCAATAAAAACAGCAACAATAACAGCAACACCATGATGAAAGGTTAACCCTATCCGTACGTCGTGTTTTACTATCGTATCCGTACTCCACTTTCCAAAGAGGAAATTTTCTCGCTAATCCAGTCCGTACACTTTGAATAGCAGTCTGTCAAAATGATTTTCTGTGAAATACTGAAAGTTTCAAAGAGATCTTCATTCTAAAAGTATTCGAAAATGTGAAGAATACAACCCCGGGGGTACAAAATGACCCCAGAGCGCACGGATGGGGTTAAACGACGCCAACTAAACTATTTTAAGTCAACAACGTCTCGGGAAATGTTATTTTTGTCACTAAGTAAATCATATATAACAACTTACCCTGAGGAGCTTAATCTTCATCGGGCGTTGTCTTTTTATCTCTGTAGAAATCTCATCCCATTCAAAGAAAATTTCTAAAGAATTTCTGCAGCCAGAATTGAAGTAATTAAGTCAAAATTATTGCAGATTATAGAAAACAGACTTTCAATTCTCTTACTACAGAATTTAGACATCTTTAATAAAATAAATAAATAAATGAATAAATAAATAAATGAACAGATAAATCGATAAATAAGTAGAGAGCATTTTAAAAACCTTAGTTATGCCCTATAGAAAGATATTTTCCCAAAAAAACCAAACTGAAACGTCACATCAGATGAGGAAGGGACTGAAACATCTCTTTTTGTATTCATTCATTTGAGTAAGCCTATACTTTACATTGCCTACTTTTATATTTCTATTTTCAGACTGATTTGTGCGAGAAGGATCAATATCAGGCAGGAGCATATAATAAGTCTACACTCTCTCTTCCCACTTGCTTCATTTGAATAAATCTCCCTGGATCTGCTGTTGGATAGTTAATGCTATGCTCAGTTGGTGAAAAAGCCAAGTTATTGGAAAGACAAGGTTGGTAAATTAATGTCCTAACTCATTGTTATTGTGTATACCTTTGTTTTAACGTCTCTCTCTCTATGTCTCTCTCTCTCTCTCTCTCTCTCTCTCTCTCTCTCCCCCCCTCTCTCTCTCTCTCTCTGTCACACACACACTCACTCTCACTCTCTCTCTGTCTCTCTCTCTCTCTCTCTCTCTCTCTCTCTCTCTCTCACACACACACACACACACACACAGCAACATTGTCACTAGTCACTGTCTGTCGGTCTGTCCTTCTCTATTTCTCTCATGTGTGCATGCATCTATCACTCTCTTTCTTGACCCTCTGGCTACCCCTTCCCTACCTCTCCCTCCTTATACGTTCCTCTGTGTGTGTGTTTGTGTGTGTGTGTGGGTGTGTGTGTTTGTGTGTATGTGTATGTGCATGTGTGTGTATGAGTGTGGGTGCATGGGTGTTTGTGTGTTTCTGTCTGCCCGTCTGTCTGTCTGTCTGTTTGTCTGTCTGTCTGTCTGTCTGTCTGTCTGTCTGTCTGTCTGTCTGTCTGTCTGTCTCTTGTGCCTGGGAATAGGTCCAGCAGACACCCTAGACGGGTGTTGCGTCTCTGTATGGCTAAGAACAATGCATACAAGAAGTAAGACAACGTACTTAAAAATGTGGTAAATGCCTTCCATGTAAGTAATGGTATGTATTCAACCAGCCAAAATATTGACCATCTCAATTACGATTTGCCTAACAATTTCGCGGACAGGTCTGCTTTAAAATGCTTTCAAACAAAGAGATTAAACAGTTTCGAGCGAAGGAGTGAAATTGCGAAACAAAGTAACTCCCATCATCTGTATCACGGAGCCAACCCCCCTCCCCTCCCTTTCCCTAATCCCCCCCCACTCTCTCCCCTTCTCACTCCCATTTC